GCTTACAAGGTGTATGAACTACCTGGTCGGTTACTTTACTATAAAGGTAAGCAAAATCCGAGCCAAATGAATTGATGAGGTCCTGACACTCTTGTTCACCAGTTCTTATACGCATGGAGTATTCATCACCGAGACTCTGAAAATATATACAGATATGATGTTTAAACTAAACTAACTTTATTTATACTGGATAACTCTATCAGTTCTAAACTGTTCTTCTTAGAGGTCCAGCAAGGTCATGTGTTACTGATCCAGTGTTAGGCGGAAACCTAAACTAAACTAACTTTATTTATACTGGATAGCTCTATCAATTTTAAACTGTTCTCCCTAGAGGTCCAGTAAGGATCATCTCTTATTGATAACTACAGGAGGAAACCTAAACTAAACTACCTTTATTTATAATGGATAGCTCTATCAGTTCTAAACTGTTCTCCCTATAAAATTCATTCCTTACTTTTGCAATCTCAAATATTATATTTTCAAGTCAGTCATAAGAGAGTGTATGTTACTTTCATCAAACCACGTGACCAGGGTCTGATACCTGGAATATACAGTTGTCTGCCTGTCTGGTTGTAATTGATGATTCCTTTATTACGCTTCCGTAGCGCTTTGCATCGTGGTTATAGTGGTATCACTGATATTCAAGATGGCTTATTTTTTGACCCGTGCAAGAACTTTTAAAAAAAGCTAGGGTCAGGTGCGCGATAGCTAACAGCAAAATATTGGCGAAAACATTCAATATTTTCATTCGAGGCCGCTATCTTTATCAGTGATACCACTATAACCACAATGCAAAGCGCTACGAAAACGTAATAAGGGGAATCATCAATTTCATCTCAATCACATGTGAAAAGAGTGCTTCCAGTTTGACTCTACCAAACACTACAGGATTTCTCCAGGTACTCCAATTTCCTTTCGTAGTAACACTAAAACATTTAGGCATTTCTACATTAAACATTTAAATGACTTACACTAGCTTGTTCGTAGATGCTTTTTTCAGCAGAGATATAGTGTAGATCTTATTTTTTATCTGATATGGTAGGTTCATTGTGACAGTAGGACTCTACATATTTTTAAGCATTTTTAGGGTTATAGTTGTCCAACCTCGTATCCAGGGTCTTTCCTCTTGTGGAGAAAAGACCCTGGTCACGTGATCTGCTAAAATCTAGCAGATTTCTAATTAACTATCTTGGATTCCTTTACGACAATCATACAAAAAACAAATTATAGATTAAACTATAAAAATTATACAAATATCAGATATTTACTGATCTCATCTTGGACACCTTGGATTGCTAATTAAAAATCTGCTAGATTTTAGCAGATCACGTGACCAGTGCCTACCAGGGTCTTTTCTCCCTTCGCCAAGAGGAAAGACCCTGGGTACGAGGTTGATAGTTCTCATTCGAATTTCCATCTACAAACACTCATACTACAAGAAGGCATTTCCTGTCATATTCTCCTCATAATGGCTTAGAAAATAGAGCCGCCACGCACCTCTACAACCAAATACATTGTCTTGAGTCAAATGATAAAACTCATCTTTGCACATATCACACGTTCTGCCAATCACATTTTGTTTACAATAACAGTCACCAGGCAACTAGAAATACAAAAAAGACTGTTGAGGTCATGAGAATGATAAAATAGCGTGACATAGCCACCTTAACTTCAGCATTAGTTCGACTGAGTAAGATGAAAAAACACCACAAGAAATCCTCGTGAAGGCTAACCTTTGCAAGAGTCGGGAGAAGTTCTACTTTCATTCACAGCTCGATAAAAATATGTCTTGCATTTTTCACAGTTGGTTCCTTCTGTATTGTGCTGAAAATTGAAAGAGAATAGCCAGTGCTTAAGCCTTCCAGCGGCAATACGCCCAGATGCGCCCAACTTTATAATTTTACTCTGTCTAAATCCAGACAATATTACTTGTCATGGGGAGAGTGCTGTCACTCAATGAGTTAACGTTAAATGCGATTGGCTGATGTCTGGCTAAATTATTACTTGAAAAACTTTCGTTGACGGACCACGACACTAACATTGTTCATACCTTACAATCCACACATACCCCACCACCACTGTATTGTCCCTCAGTATCCAAACTGAGCCCTCTGTCGGCCACACTTTGATCGTAGACACAGGTATCAGAATGGTTGTGACAATTACACGCTGTGGAATACAAAATCATTTCATACAAAAATTCGTCAACATGCCAACCACTCTGATAGCTAACCAGTACAAGAATTTATTAGGTCACAGGAAACATGCAAACAACTAAAATATACCAGACCACTGTCAATAAAGGCTGGTTTTACACTATCAAAATTTTTGTGATCAAGGATTTGTAAGAAATCTTTGATAGAACTGACTAAGTGTTAACACATTAGTGAGTTCCCTCAAACATTTCTTACAAATCCTTCCAAACTTAGAATTTACCCATGCAAAATTCCTACTGTGATCACAGAAACTTTGATAGTGTAAACCAGCCTTTAGAAATTGTACCCAATGAACAAAATTACCCACAAACCTTTGCACGTGGCAGTTGCATTCCATACCCAGGGCGCACCAACACTTGGTTGCCATGGATACTGGTTATACGCAGAACAACACTGTTCACAGTATAGCCCACATGTGTTCCTTGACAACGGCATTTACGTTGCTTAGTAACGGGATCCATGGGACAATCAAATCCATCAGCATAACCATGACAATTACATTTTGCAGCGAGACCAACCTCACGCACTGCATAATGATGCTAGAAAAAATATGTTGAAGATAAAACTCAGAAAGTTTCAATGTGTAAATGCAGGTTGTTGGCGAAAGTTATGAGGGTCTCTCATGTGGGGGGAGGGGGGCCTGTCTGAGTGGGTTTACTTGACAAGTTTTTCTTTGTTCTCCGCAACGATTTCACCATGTTCTCTCGGTTCCTTTCTTCTCTACGATTTTTCGGCTTTGTTCCCAAGTTGTTTCCTAAAACCTGGTTTCCAAATGGTCGTAATAGTCGTAAAAATAGAGTCACGATCTTTCTCGACGGCCAGTTTATAATAGTTTATACCTGTAAACCACATATAAATCATAAGTATTCTCTAGCTCTAATCACTCCGCGTATTTTCAGCTAAAATGTTATATTTCGGCTGATGAGAAAGATCGCGACTAAATCTTTACGACCGTTAGGACCATATGGAAACAAGGCTTAAAAACCCTGGAAGACTCTCGGTGATTAGGAAAAGCTATCCGTGAACCTTTTCGAATTTTTCTTACCCAAGCAGTTGACAAACGATCAAATTTCTGGTACAATCCAGTGAAGACAATTTTAAGATTTGTAATTTTCATCCAACTCTACATAAACGAAAAACAAAATATACGTTATATGTAATATATAACAACAAAAATACGACTCCATAAACAATAGCAACTAAAAACACACCAGTATCTCAGGAGTGTGATAGGCAGAGGTGCTGCTACCATCCCCTCTTTGACGACCATTCATGTCAATAGAAAACTAAAATACAACAGAGAATCCTTGTATCACATGGGAACAAAACTTTACAATAGTTTGCGTTTGAACATACGAAAAACAAAAGATAATAACTCGTTTAATAAGCTTTTAATTTAACACTGTATACATTTACTAAACATTTATATCACGATCAAATGAGACTGAGAGTTGATGAGAGTTGGCTGTCAGATATTGTTACAGGGATATTTCAAGCTCTAGATTAACAAAATAAAGGTTTGATAGTGTTTCAACTATATTTTAACTTAAATACATGATAGTGTTGGGAAAGCATTAAGAACAGCTAACTAAGGTCACGTGACTGCCAACTCTCATCCTTGTTTCATCCAAGACTCACTGTTTCATTATATTCCATTGGAAAATAACTTGGATACTGTTGACATATGACCGTGTCAACTTTCTGGGGGTTATAGGTGACTGGCATATTAAACACATCACGACATTGTTCCAGAGCTGGGGCAGACACGAGAAAATGCCATGGTTCATACGTGGCGCCAAAATCTTTGGATTTGTAGAAAGCGATTTGTTCTGGACGTCTGTAGTCCCCGAATGTCATCGAAAGTTCGTAGCCATAGACTTCCTGAAAGTGTATAAGTATTGAATATGATGTGCTTGTGTGATGTTACTCTGAGTGTATATCCACACCGGGCAGGCTTGAAAAATATGCCTGGCCACGGTGGGAATCGAACCTACGACCTTTGGAATACTAGCCCTGTTGAATATGATGTTCTTCTTTTGAGTGTAAAAATGCAACTATAGGTCCCTGGCAGGAATCGAACATGTGGCCCTGTGATTCCGGTGCAGTGCTTGAACCAACTGAGCGACGGAGGCCAGTTATCGAGCTCTAACCACAAGTTCATGTATATATACTAAGATGGGTAAATATAGGCTAATGGACCATTTGCATTATAGACTAAATTTTGATCCAGACAAAAATTTCATCACAGCTTGAAAGAGCATCACAAAATTAGTAATATTCCAAAGTTTCGTTGGGAAATGTTGTAAAATGAGGATAATATAGCCTTGCGAAATTTGCAATTTTCAGTCATTTTGTATTACAAACGGGAAATTGATGCCCCAACACCCGATTGGGCTGTCAATTTCCCTGCGTAATACAAAACTGCATAACCCACTGGTATACCATATGTCCATCATTCGGCGTTGTTCCAGTCTTCGACCACGTGTAGGAATATTTTCTTCGCGATGCTATAGCAAATCTATAAACTTTGTTTTTCTGGTTCCCAAAATGCGCAAGAACTGTTATTGCGAATTAAATCTACTGTATATACCATCCTAATAGACGTCTGCAGAAAAAATTCATTACAGCTTGAAAGATCATCACAAAATTAATTATATTCCGAAGTTTCGTTGCAAAATGTTGTAAAATGCGGATAATATAGTAATACAAAATGACTGAACTACATTTCTTGGGAGGCAGAAAATTCACTAAACGTGGCACCTCCGACACATATACGAATTTAGTATGGATTTAGAGACGGGGAAAAAATCGCTGGAAACGAAGCTAACATTGCTTCAACTAAACGTGAAAAGAACCGAAGTTACACTTCAAAGTGAACAACCCAATGCCATCGAGAGGCATTGTAAGGCTCTCAAAGCAGTCATCGCCGCTGTAGATGATTCCCGAAGAACAGTTGAAGAGCAGAAAATCATAGAGAAAGAAAGTCTAGACGATATTGGCGAATGGAACATTGAGATCAACGCGAAGCTTGCCGAAGCGGACAACGAGGTTAAACGTATGAAAGAATGGGTTATGACAACCTTGCAGAAGCTTTGACAAGTCAGTGGACAAGAAGAAATCCTATCGACAACAAAGCGACAGACCAGCCAGAATACAAACGCCGCGAACGTCCTAGTAAATTCTACCATGCACGCCAAAGCAAGGGATGTGGGTGTACGAAAGTGACGTCGGCGAACGAGCGAAGGCAGATCCTAGCCAAACGTCATCTGTGCTTTAATTGTACTGGTGCGTCACATCGTGCGTCTGACTGTCCAAGTAAATCGAAGTGTTTCAATTGCGAGAAGCGCCACCATACATCGATATGCGACCAAAACCAAGAGAAACCAAACAAGCTTTTGTCTGCGAGCGCAAGTGGCGAAGGATTATTTCCCGTAGTTGTGGTCAAGGTTAATGGGATTACCGTGAGAGCACTAATTGACGCGAAGTGAAGACGAAACGTGTTGACATGTTAATGGGATCGTGTGTCGAAAGATTTGAAACTTATGAGACGGTGATGACATCTGTTGATAACAAATGCCAGATGGATGTACAACTAACCAAAGGTCGCAGAATACACTAAACTGGGCTGGTTTATAATGTCACCGGGGGAGGAATTTGACAGAAGTACTATGCTTATGACTCAAACCAGCCAGACAGACTACGAGGAACTCTGTCGTCTAGACGTACTCGGGTTAGCTGACTCTCCAACACACAATCAAGAGACGGTGTTCTCCGAATTTAAAGAGCAATTAACGAGAGATCCAGCGAGATGGTACGAAACGGGGCTCCTTGGCGAGGAAACCATGCAAGTTTGCCAAACAACAAACAAGGTAGTCTACGACGTCTGAACCACCTCACGAAGCGACTACACCAAAACGGCCTTACCACCGAATACGATTCCATTATCCGAGAACAACTCAACGAGGGAATTGTCGAGAGTGCACCGGATGTCCCTAGCAACAAGGAATTCTACATTCCACATAAGGCGGTAGTTAAAGAGAGTGCCGCGAGTACCAAAACGAGAATCGTGTACGACGCCTCTGCGAAAGCCAGACCTGATGCACCATCCCTCAACGAGTGTTTGAATCCCGGACCCCCACTCCAGAACAAACTTTGGGACGTCTTGGTCCAACAACGAGCCTACCCATTCGTGATAGCCACTGACATTAGAAAAGCGTTTTTGCAGATTCGGATCCGAGAAAACGAACGTGATTCCCTCCGTTTCCATTGACAGAAAGAACCACACACAGAGATCGAAGTTCTACGTTTCACAAGAGCATTGTTTGGGCTAATCTCGTCGCCCTTCCTTCTCGCCGGAGTACTCGAGTGCCATTTTGATGCCTGGGAAGAGAAATATCCGGACTTGATACGAGATTTGCGCCGAAGTTTATACGTTGACGATCTGCTGACCGGTGGCCAAACTGTACTGGAGGCTCGTACGCGGAAGGAGAAATCTATCGAAGTCCTGGACGATGCAACTTTCCAACTACATAAGTGGCACTCGAACGTTGAAGAGTTAGAGAGAGACGGTGATCAGTCCCAGAATCACGACGAACAATCATTCGCGAAGCAACAATTTGGAGTTCAACCTAGTGAAACGAAGATCAACTTCCCTGAAGATGAACATCCTGTAACCAGACGCGGGATTCTCGGTAAGCTCGCCAAGATCTATGACACCCTCGGTCTAGTGTCACCCCTGACACTAGAAGGGAAGCTGGTGTACAGAGCGGCGTGTGAGTCGAAGACACCGTGGGATGCCAAGCTTGATGACAAACTGACACAGCGTTGGAAGAAGTGGGAACAGGGCCGTCGCGAGCGGGGGGGTGTGGGGGGGTGCTCCACCCCCCCAATAATTTTCACAAGTCGGCCCCAGTCGGCAAATTTCTTCGTTACTGTTCGGCAAATTCCGAAATCGGCATTCAGCAAATTGTAAAAGTTAAGAACGAAGGCGATAAATAAAGCGATAAATTTTGGATTTAAAATAATGGTTTGTGTGGTCTTATGTCAAAACCATTTAAATGTATTTCTACTTTCTAGTAAAACTATTAGTCTTTTATTTGTCGAAAATCGACGGGAGGCTGAAATGTGAATCCCACGTTTCCGGGCATGTTCTTCGCTCGACTGCTCTTATAGCGAAGGCTTATTTATGTGCGGTTCAAAACTGCCCAAAAGAAAAATAATAAAACTTTAGTGTCTTGAATGTAATTCGGTTTTTGACGACTATAGAAACTTTATTATTTATTTCACGAGGGAAAACGTATTAATCGGCATAAAAGTTATCTAACATACGGCCCGACGATTACCGTAAGAGGCACGAGCAAACTTGCCATAAGGGAAACCAAGTGCGAGTAGCACATAAAGACGTACCAGCTAATCCGTTTGAGACAGCAAAGCGCAGTCAAAGCCAAAGAGAATATTTTGAGTCGTCAGAGGCGCAAGATTCTCAAGAAGACTCCATAGGCACCGATGAGAAGAAGACCAAGAGAAAGACGAGGCATGCCATAAGAATGGACTTGTCTTCTTTAGTTCTTTAGCGAAATTACTGTTAACTCTTATCAGCCTATAGTTTTGAAAGACATACCGCATACAGCGATCGGTATCATCGATCGGTTGCATATGATCATATCCGTTTTACTCGCTTTCTGACGCATAAAATTTAATTAAACTCTTGAAAAATCGGGTCGTACAAAAGCCCAGTTAACACTATCCGGCACTAAGAGTTTTAAGACTGCTCAAAATACAAAAATATTATAAATTGTCTATTCGGCGCCTGGGGATAAAAAAGGTCAAATTCATCAAAATTCACCAAAATTCGGTTTTTGGTTGTAATGCGTTAATTTCTGAAACTGAAAGTACCATTTTCACGTACGGTTCTGTTCACACGAAAACGTATGAAAACGACGTCAGGAAGCAAAAACGTTTCAAACGTTTCATAAACGATGCCAAAGATTCGTTCTCTATGTCTGAAACTTTTGGTCGTTTTGACACTTTGTTATTGTGTAAACAGAAAAGTAGAAGGCGAAAATGAAATTCCGTGTTTAAATTTGGAAACGAAGACTATAAAAAACTAGTGCTTTGTCTGAAAATGTTGCGAGAAAAACTATCAATGTGAACAAGGTGCCTAAACGCTAAATTTGAAAACGGCACTGCAAAAACGCTCAAAAACGTGACCAGTGTGCACATAGTTTCAGTCTCGATTTAGGACTTATGAAAACACAGTATAAATTTATGGTAAATTTAATTTTTTTTCAGCTTTATATGTTTAATATAAATAAATTAAAATAATACTCCTATCTGAAAACAAACGCACGAAAATAAAATAGTGCTAATCATTGAGCTGTGGTTGCAGTTATTGCAATTGTGTTTTTCGATTCGTGACCATATATATGTTTGTTCTTAGAATGTCGTATTTTATATATAAAGCAACCCGATTCCTTTTTAGCAACAACCCACGAACAGGCATCCATATTTCAAAACAAGAGCCATATTGGTGTCCCTCAGTTACTAGCACACCAATATGATTCTCATTACCTATACAAACTTTTCTTCTCATTACCTATACAAACTTTTGAAAAACTCGGCAAATTCAACTGGCGTCACTCGGCAATTTGACCTTCGACACCCCCCCAATCCATATCCCTTCGCAACGGCCCTGATTGTAGCACTAAATATTACGAAGTAAAACATGTTTCATAATTGCGCGGCGATTCTTTTTGTCTGTTTTGATATGACTGCATGTGACGCACTTAGTTTATTTAGCCGCCGCACTTGATTATGAAATCCCAGCAGACAGAGACGGAAACCACGGCACGCAAAGTAGATTGCGCTGAATTCACTAGCAATTGTGCCCTAAAATAATTCGAGTGTAGTGTAGTGTAGTGTAGTGTAGTGTAGTGTAGTGTAGTGTAGTGTAGTGTAGTGTAGTGTAGTGTAGTGTAGTGTAGTGTAGTGTAGTGTATGACTGCAATCCAACTTGTCTTGAATGTGCTATATACGCTGCCGCCGGAATACGCGAATATTGCGAATATGCTGCATACTAAAAATATCCGCTTGACTGACATCGATCACAAACATGAATGAAGTTATGAAGGTAACTTCAATGCCAAAAATACATTTAATGATGAAAAATTGAAATGTCTGATTGAAATTCAGCGTCGAAATTCACTTAGCCGTGTCTCTTACCCTATATAATATATAGTACTATCAAGTACCGTTTCCGACATTACTGATAAAAGCAATATCTGACATTCTAGTGAAGCTGTTAACTTGAAGCGTCTTTAGTCACTTTACATGGCTATGCCAGTGTATTTTTTACATAGTTGAAGTTACCTTCTGACATATAAACTTCATTTATGTTTGTGATTGATGTTCAAGCGGTATTTTTAGCATGCAGCATATTTATGTCAGGCTATTTATTTATATTCGCAATATTCGCAGTGTATATATAGCATATTCAATGTTGGATTGCATCTTACACTACACTACAAATTAATTTAGTGCACAATTGCTGCTGAATCCAGCGCAATCTGCTTTGCGTGCCGTGGTTTCCTTCTCTGTCTGCTGGGATTTCATAATCAAGTGCGGCGGCCAGTAAATAAACTAAGTGCATCACATGCAGTCATATCAAAACAGACAAGAAGAATGGCCGCGCAATTACGAAACATGTTTTACTGTGTAGTGCTACAACGATGTTCATCTTTGTTTTGTTTAAAAATCAAAATGCCTTGTATATAATATTGTACTTTATCATTGAATTGCGCCCTCCCCCCCCCCCCTGTAAATTATTATTATGTATATCTCCTGTGGTGCAAAATGCTCTAATTTGCATAAATTATGCACGGTTCCAGGTTCCGGTTCCAGGTTCCGGTTCCTGTATCGCTGTATCGTTGTATCGCTGTATCGCTTTTTAGTAGTAGCCTGTCAGGAGCGAACAATTTTGTTTCGAAGAGGAAATAGCAAATTTTAACAACTTTGTGCATTCATCGATAACTTTTTTGTAAAGGAAAACAAAATGGAAGCTTTTAACTTCATTTGACAAAATGTTATTAAGTTCTAGTATGTTTTTAACGAAGACAGGAGTGAGGAACTGCAATGTACACGAGTCAATGAATATACCTTTAACGTATGGAAATGTCGGACGAATATCCACTTCCATGAATATATTATATATCTAAATAGTAAAACAATAAACCCTACCAACAAAAGCAGGTGAATCTGAATAATTAACGTCTTATTTCAAACAAATAGTTTTTCAATGAATATTCTTTGAAGAGGAACATAAATTTAATGTTAATATTTGAGTTGTTTATAGACTATAGTGATACGTAATGCAATTTTACGCCTTGTGATTAATATCTAAAAATTTTCCTTATGATCGATTTTGTTCGAGGGACAGTGGAGGAACTAAGTCTTTTATAGACCAAACAATAGTCTGTCAAGATATGATCATTATGATGGTCTGGAAGCCTGCAAACTTCAAAGCTACAAAATAGAAGACCTAGTGTTTGATGTTGAACTGTACCTTACTGTGCACCTTCATAGATTTGGTTAAACAGTCTTTTGATGTAGCAAGAATATTTGAAATTTAAAATGTTCTTGGGTTTATTTCGGTGTTGTATAAGTTGTCTGTACAAATGGAGGCCGGGTGTGCTCATCGACCCATATATGGTTCAGTGTATGACTGTTGACCAAGTCAGTAATCATTTGTAGCTACACACAGCAGTGAGGGGTATTATTGTGGTAATGGTGACAGGATATTGCCTTTCCAAATTGAAAAAAAATGATTTGATGAAATACCCCCCCCACCTTACACCCCTTTGCCAATGTTAAGGGGGGTGCATCCCCATGGCAGTAAATACATCCAGGGATGGATCCAGCATGATCTGGTAGGGGGTGCTCTGCCAGCTCTGGTGCCGAGTTGTGTCGGTCATGTGTGCCACCCGCCCATCAACTTGCTTCACTACTGCAAAGTCCTGCTTCACTACTGTATTTAAATTGTAATTGTTGTTCACATTTCACTTATCATCATGTTATTACTCAAATTACTGTATGTCATTTTGTCTCTAATAATTATTTGCTTGATCATGAAAAATAGCACCCCCCCCCTGCACCCCCATCCCTGAATACATCTCTGCAGGAATGCAAGAAGAATTTGGCTTCTTTTCCCCCATGAAAACTTAATCCCCCATGTCAGGATAATTTTGGTGTTTAACATTTTGATATTTTCTAACTAAAGTGTTACTGCGACAAATTTTCTGAACCCTTGTTTATTAGCTTAAATAAATATTCAATCTTTCAGAACTAGCAATTTATCATGCTTTGTCATTCTCAGTCTGGCTTTCATATGAACAGCCATTAAAAACACACATTGACATGACAACTATCCTTTTCTTAATACCAAACTGACAAGGTTTCCAAAACTCAGCCTGAGGGCTGAGAGCAAACATATTTGAGCTTGTTGAACAGACTAAATGCATATTTCACTGATGTCTGACCAATTGGATTTATTTATTGCCCTTCAAATAACTATGTGCCCACATTTATTCAATTAGTATCCATGGTAAATCATATTGTCAATATATAAAATAATATTGAATTTGTTGTGCTTGCCTGTAATTATAGGCAATTAGCATATATGAGCACACTTATATATCAGTTTCAGTTCACAAATTACCTGCCCAGTCTAAAAAATATTGTCAAATGGCCCAAACTAGCTTGTGGGAGATCTAACCATGCAAGATCCTAGCTGCAAGGTTTCCCACTTTCCCACCTGACAGGATCATATAAACATGTCTTAATATTAATTAAAATAAGCCTTTTAAATACTGCAATATCCTACATACTAATATACTATATGTCACAAGACTTTGCAAAATAACATTTTCATACTAGCAGAAACAGGGAGGGTTTCAAAGGACTAGGCCACCTAGCTAACTAAGCTAAAAAAAAAAAGGTTATTAATTTTGCTCAGCCACACGCAAAATATTCTTTGCCCTTTCATGACCAAGAATCCTCAATGAGATATATTATTTATAAACACAATATAAAAATATGCAACGGATTCGAAAAGACGAAAACATTCCAGCGACTATTATTCGTAGAGAGACTTCGGTTCGTGTCGTAAAAATCGTCGGAATTACTCTTCCCCAAAAGATGTCGCTTTAACCCATGTAGTTCACGTATAAATATCGTTGAACAGATCTTTTTAAGTGCACATATTTGCACAACGAAAGCACAACGCCGACCTCGAACGCTTCAGCAATGGGCTATTCCATTTAATATCCGTACCCCCCCTGTCGAGGATCCCTGGAATTCTTCAGGGGTAAAGGGTTTTGAGCTTGGAATTCTTCAGGGGTAAAGTGTTTTGAGCTTGGAATTCTTCAGGGGTAAAGTGTTTTGAGGTTGGAATTCTTCAGGGGTAAAGGGTTTTGAGCTTGGAATTCTTCAGGGGGAAAGGGTTTTGAGCTTGGAATTCTTCAGGGGTAAAGAGGTTTGACTTTGATATTTTTCAGAGCTTGGAATTCTTCAGGGCTGAAGGGTTTTGAGCTTGGAATTCTTCAGGGGTAAAAGGTTTTGAGCTTGGAATTCTTCAGGGGTAAAAAATTTTAAGCTTGGAATTCTTCAGGGGTAAAGGGTTTTGAGCTTGGAATTCTTCAGGGGTAAAGGATTTTGAGCTTGGAATTTTGGAATTCTTCAGGGGTAAATAGTTTTGAGCTTGGAATTCTTCAGGGGTAAAGGATTTTGAGCTTGGAATTTTGGAATTCTTCAGGGGTAAAGGGTTTTGAGCTTGGAATTCTTCAGGGGTATAACCACGAAAAACATGCATCCTCGACAGGGGGTGTACGGATATTAAATGGAATAGCCCAATGCGCTTTCGCCATATTTAATTTATTACCTTTGTGTTAAATTTATGCATTATTAATACAAATTTATGCCCCCCAAATTTTGGGGGGCTGTAATGTGATTGGTCAATCAGAACAATGCCGAAGCTCATTGACCCAGCCGTTAAGTGGGCGAGTGGCGAGAACACAACGGCTGGAATCTGAGCCTAGCTTTCAAATCGTTCGTTTCAAATCTAGTGTGACATTCGTAATTTTGTCCGCTTTGCATGGGCGCCTATGCAACGAAGTTGCAATTGATCGACCAAGTCTTAGTTGTCAACTCCCCAACAAAAGTCAATAAGAAATCGTTCAGTGCGATATAAGAATCAATCTAAAAAAATGTTATTGTAAACAACTACGAGTGTCTTCCTGTGTCCTTTCCAAGTGTCGCTAAAGACAGAATTGGCGGCTTTGACCGTAAGGCGTTCATGTTGAATAAAGCTCCTCACTTCTCGGGTGACATCACTCGGCCCATAAACAGCAAAATAAATTTCTAGTTTATATGACAGTGTGCCATCGGGCTTTGTCTCAGACTTGCTTTCAGCCATATTGCAATAAGCGTGAAAACAATTAAGGTAGGGATGGGCGATACCGAGTACTCGGTATTCGATACCAGCGATACCACAAACAGCGGTATCGGTATCGATTACTGACGTGGTATCGTTCGATACCACTAAAATAACCCTTAATATTGCAAATGTGGTGCGCCAAGTCATGTATAGAAAATATTTATTACGTTTCGGGCTTTTGGTTACTTATAGCTTTATTTATTTTACATACAGTATTATAATATAGCATTTAGCGGGAGGCCCTTACTGGACCTCTAGAGGGAGGCCCTTACTGGACCTCTAGCGGGAGGCCCTTACTGGACCTCTAGAGGGAG